CTTCGTGGACATCCACGCCCAGCGTCTCAAAGTAGGCAGCCACCTGCTGAGCACCAGGGCACCATGAGTGAGTGAACCCAGGGTACAGAAAAGGTGGACGCTTAGTTGATAGCTGCCAATCATGTCTTCCTTACATGAGCTTGGCTTGAAACCAGGAGCCCGAGCAACGAAGTTAGAGCTGCTGCGCGGCCATGCGCCCGTGGCAGACTTGAGATGGCGCACAGCGCGCAAGGAAACTGCAACTGCGCTCGGGAAATCTGCCCCAGCTGCCTTCGGGTTCTCAAGGATGCTGACCAGCCTTTCCTGTGTGATCATCCCGGTCCCGGACTCATCGATGGCTTGAAAGATCCTAAGTTGCAAATATTGGTGATGTACGTGCCGAGCATTGCTCCACAACAAAATGAACGGGCCAGCACGACAAGCAGCCACCATTTGCAAACGGTCTGCTAAGTGGTGAGTGCATGTTGGTGTGAGCCAAGCTAGTTCAAGTCTAGGTGTCTCAAATGAGCATGTTCAATTGACATCGGTGAGCCTCTAATCGCCTTTCGCGTTCCATCACGAGCACACTGGCAAAGTCCTAAAGTTGGGAAAGCCATTCCCATCCTCGCCATGCCTCGCGTGCAACTTGTTGACGTACTGCGCCTTCACCCGCATCTTGTCAGTGACCTGGTTCTCAGCGTCGTTCTGGGCAGCGTCAAAAGTGTCCTTCCTTGGGCCGACTCGCTAGGAAAGAAGCCTTCAAGCAAGGCAGCCCGGCCGGCTTTGTGCGTCCAAGCGGCAGGAACACGGCGCTGATCACACGTATGACCGCGAATACGACCACAGTGATGTACACACTGGGCATGGCAAGTGGGAATGGCCATCATCTTGCCGGTCTCTGGCCCTATGAAACAACCCCATTCAAAAACAATGCTAATTGTAAATTGCACTTCTTGGCCATCCCTATCTTGCAGTTACAACCCATGAAGTAGACCGGAACATGCCAAACCACGAGGCGTTCAGCCTTCTCATGCGACTGCCCAAATCCCGTCACCACACGCAATCACCAGAAGCCATGTAAGAAAAAGGTGCTGGTCAGAACGCGAAATCACACCCTCCTTCAATCCGATTTGGCGAAACATCTGCAGCAGGACCCCTCGGTTTCTTCCGAAACCATGGTTTGCCTACTGCAAGGTTGCCTGGTTGCAAGCCGTGTACTTGTTCTCTACAAGCGTTGTTGACCTCACTTGCCCAAAGGACCCAGAAATAAAAGGTTAACCTTTTGGCAGCTCCACGAAAAATGGTCCAAAACGGGAAAACCAAAAGGTCAAAAGGTCGGCTTTGGGCCACTGAGTGACAGTTGTCGTCAATAGCCCTGGAGTTTTCAAGCCGTCTGCAACTCACATAGTCAGCGCGCAAAAACAAACCAAGGGGCAAAAAGCGACTGCACGCACAATGCTCAAAGTGCTTTCTGGCAAATTATCTTCGTAGGCACTCGGCAGCTACTTGGCCCGGGCGTCTGCGACATAATGCACCCAATGCTGGGCCTTGTGCTTACAAAATAGAACGCCCCCCTCGCCCAAACCAAAAACACGTGCAAGAAACATTAAATTGATGCGAGCAGCAAAGTTCGGCAGAGTCGGAGGCGGAAATTAACAACGGACACGCAAGCAATGCGTCTTTTCGCGTGCAATTCTCTTCAAGCGCGTGAAGTCAAGGCAGTCAACTTGCCAGCCAGCTTGTTGGCTAAACAGTTGGTTAAGGAGCTGTCTAGCTTAGAAAGTCAGCTAGTTGGGGCTAGCTTGGCAGCGAGCCTACGCGCTTCTTAGCTAGTCCTGGCACCTACCTAGTTGGCGAACAAGTTTGCCAGCTATTGGCTTGGCTACTAGGTGCACTTTATTTAATCTATTCGGACGGAAAGCTAGCTGGCTGGCTCGAATCTGCTCAGTTCGATAGATGGCTGAAAAGTTGGCACTGGCTTGTCGGAATAGCTGGTAAGCTGGTTGGTTGGCCAATTCTCCCACACCGTGTAGACAACTAGCTATCTTGCCATAGCAAAAAACAAGCGCTGCATAGCTTCTTAGTGGAAGGTCGGCCGCTCTAAAGTCCGCAAGGGGTTCCATCTGATGGCTGCGCAAACTGTAAAATGTAAGAAACGTATAAGTTTTGAACCCCCTAAACAATACGCGGTGAGCAGAACGAAAAGGCAAAAACACCGCTTTCCAACTTTTGTGGCCCGCAGATAGCCAACAACATAGGCGCCGCAAATATGTTTTAGTTTCCGGTTGGGGGCCCGCTTCCTAGCCTGCCCACTTTTGCCCCGGTGGGCTTTGACCTGCCGGAAAAGGTCAAAGCATTTGAAGGGGGCTCTTCTGAATTGCCCTGCGCTATGCCTGCCCGGGGCAACCGCTTTGACTGTTGCAAAGGGAAGTGGCCTGCCTTGACAAGCAAAACAAACCCCCCAGTCCGTCTGAGCCAGGCTGCAGGTAGAACAGAACGAAGACATGGCTCGCTTTGTCCATCACAGGGCGAGCGTTCGTGGGCCAATTCCCAGCAAATGTGATCCTGAGTCGGAGGGGGAGGGGAAAGTACCACGGGCTGACACAGGCCCAGAGGCACGGGCGGGGGGCCGCTAAGCGGCAGCGGCAGGCAGGGGGGGGGGCAGGCCACCACCACCGAGCGCGGGCGCGGGCGGGGGGGGAGGGGCGGGGGGAAGAAGGCCACCACCACCGGGCACGGGCGGGGGGGGAGGGGCGGGGGGAGGCAGGCCACCACCACCGGGCTCGGGCGGGGGGGGAGGGGCGGGGGGCGCAGGAGGAGCCCAGGCGGGCCGGGCCCTGCGGCCAAGGACATCGGCGCGCCGAATGGCGGCCATCTGCTCAAGCCGGAGCAAGAGAGCGGGAGTGGGGTCAAGGGGGGAGGACCACCCGAGCCGCCGGGCAAGAGGGAGCGCCGGGGGAGGAACGCGACCAGGCGAGCGGAGAGAGTCGTACGCCGAGCACTGCCAGAACAGGTGCTCGACGCTCGCAAAGACCAAAAGACCGCAGGCCTGGCAGGACTGCCGGAGAGGGCCAGACGGGGTCCAAGCAGCATCAGACAGGGTGCCGCCAGTCATGACACCGACGGCATGGCCGGAGGCACGAGCCGCGACGGACCGCAGAGAGGAGACCAAGCCAGAAGAGACCACCAGGCCCTCGGCGCGCGCAGCGACAGCGTCGCGGCGCGAGGAAGCGAGCCAGAGCCGAAACTGACAGACGCGCCAAGACTGACGGAGGTCATGCAGGGCAGCGGCGCGACCAGCAAGACGATCCGAGAAGGAAAAGCCAGTGCCGCCACCAGGAGGACGAGCGCCGCCAAGGTGAACGGACCAGCCCCACCGCGAAAGCCACGGCCGGAGAAGGCCGCGAAAGCCAGAGGACCAGTCGAGACCGGAAGCAGCAGCCCGAACCGAATGCCAGCGCGCGATGGCCGAGAGAGCGCGACAGGCACCGAAGAAAGCCAAGTCAGAAGTGTGACCAAGCTCCAGGACCCTGCGGAGATGAGGCGAAGCTCTGCCGCGGGAGAAGGCAGCGCCATGAGTGGCAGTGGCACACCGCCGATAGTGGGCCTGAATATCGACAGCGCGAGGAGCACGACCGCCAAGGAAGCAGCCCCAGACGGCCTTCGCAGCGACAACGGTAGCGGCGATCCGCTGCTTGATCTTGAGAGAGGCCTGCAGAGCGCCGGCCCGCAGGGCGACCCGATCAGCGGCAGCAGCGCGCGCAAGCTGGGCGGGAGACTGGCCAGGACCGCAAGCGAAGGAGCACCCGAGGGCAGTCAAGGTGGAGGAAGCCGGAAAGCCAGCGGCAGCCAAGGCGCGCTGCGCGGCAGCGGAGCGACCGAAGAACTGAGACTTACCCGGGTGGGTGCGAAGCCTGCCGAACCCCTCGAACGCCTGCCAATGCTGCAAGTAGTTCTGCAGATCGCCGACGCACCGAAAGAAAGCGGTGCGATCGTCAATGTAGAGACCAGGGACGCAGCCAGGAATGGCCTGAACGATGCGGCGCTGAACACCGCAAAGGAGGATGCCGAGAGCGACGGGCGACCAGGGGTCGCCTTGGGCGAGGGCACGCACGCCGGTGATGGGAGCAGAGGAAAGAACACCACCGAAAGAGACGAACCTCCGCTGCTGAGCCCACATGTGACCGAGAGCGCCGGCGACGCCAGGGGGAAGGCCGGCGCGGCGCATGCAAGCCAAAGCCGTGACCGAATCGGTGGAGTCAAAGGCCTTCGCAAAGTTCAATGAAGCACCGACGGGAAGAGAAGCGGCCTCGATGCCAAGCGCAACCACGAGGGACTCGGCATCGAGCGTGCCAGCGGTGCCACTGACATGCAGGGGGTGCAGCAAATTGCGCCAGGCCGGGCGCATCTGCCCGAGGCGGGCTTTGCTCCAAGCACGGAACAACACCGAGCCGACCGAGATAGGCCGCACGGCCGTGACAGCACACGGACCGGAGCCAAGCGCAGCGGAAGCAGCCTTCGGCAGGAACGAGATACGCCAGCACAGGAGCGGGAGAGGCCAACGGCCCTGCGCCTCGATGACCGCGAAGAGCTCGGTGAGAGCGTCCCAGGCAGGGGACGGGAGAGCCAACAGCGTGGAGGACACCAGTTGTCGGGACCAGCCGCGGTCCGGAGCATGCCACGGGTGCACGAACGCAGCAGATCGACAGTGAGAGGCGGCAGAGCGACCGGAGGCAGCATGGGGAGCTCCGCGTCGTACTCCTGCAGGAAGTCCGCAACGCGGGGCACATAACCGGGGGGCCCACAGAAGAGGTCGCGCCAACCATCAGCGAGGGCCCGCGCCCCGTTGGCCCGACCAGAGACCACCGAGCCGTCGGCGGCTGAGAGCAAGAAAGCCGGAGGAGCGACACGCTTGACCCACCGGACAGCGCCTTCGTACGTGGCGGTGCGGGCCCGCCAACGACTGAGCGCGCCCGCGTGGCAAGCATCGACGTGGGACTGAAGCCGAGCCTGGACAGCGTCGACACAGGCTCCCCAAGCGTGGGAGGCGAAGAGAGGCCCAAGGCCGAGAGCGCGCCCGTCCAGAGCAAGCCGCCGAAGAAGACCAGAGGACGGGGCGCGGCCGTTGCGGGAAGCCTGGAGGGCCTCCTGCAACCGACGAAGGGTGCGCTGAAGCTGGCGCTCCAGAAGAGACTGGCCAGCGCCGACAAGGCCGGGGCCCGAGACAAGCAGGGGAACGCCACCCCGCGGAGCCGTGGAGCGAGCGACTTGGAGAAGACCAGAGCCATCCAGGAAGGCCTCCGCACCATGGACCACAAAGACCACAAAGCGTCCACCTCACCCCGGGCGAGCGACGCATGCCAGGCGGCAGCGTCGAAGGAAGAAGCCCAGAGAGCGGCCGCCGGCCCGTCCGGGAGACCAGGGCCATCCAGCAAGCGCCGAGGACGACGCGCCGCCCAAGAGGGAAGAGAGGGCCCAGCCCTGCAACGCAAGGACACCAGAGAGCCGGTGTGGTCAGACAGAACAGGGAGAGACTGCCAACCAACCAGAGTCAAGCCAGGGGAGGCCCACACGTGGTCGATCGGCCCCGAGCTCCGCACATGCTGAGCTGTGGCAACCAACCCGCCGCCGAGGCGCTGCATGTGGGAGGCGATGGGCGAGTTGACCGGAGCGGCATTCCAGTCGCAGGCAAGCACCCAGTGGAGATGAGCGACAGGGAGGATCGCGGCATCAAGCTGGGGGAGCAACTCGTCGGCCGCCGCAGGACGACGGTAGGCACAGACGACCACCAGAGGCACCGACGCGCCGAAGACCCGAGCGGCCAGGACCTGCCCAGCGACAGCGGAGAAGGAGCTGA